CAAAAGTTGACCAATTTGGCAATTAACCTGTATTGTTGGTTGAGTCTCAAATCTTTAAGTTTTTCTTCTACAGTCTAGCAAGAGTCATCCCTTATTACCTCAGGAGGAAACGTTAGGGGGACTGTATTTTTCGCACGAAGCGTGATGGATTTATTATATTGATCGACTATTTTCTTACTTTGTGATTCGTGATCGGATCGTTTCAAATCAATTTACTGACGTGTACGTGAAAGAACGGTTTCGGATTTAACCGCGTGATCAGTGAATGAAGCGGGATGGGAATAAACGTGATCCGTGAATAGAGGATTATAGGCGTACGAGACAAGGGGCAGGGGGGCAACTGCCCCCCCCCCCAATTTTGGAAAACCATGGAAATTCGGGTGAATGCCAGGAAATATCAAGAAAATTCGGATTAAATACAGAAAATAGGTTAAATTCAGGTAATTTCATTACAATCCTCCATAAAAATTTGGGCAAACGTTCAACTCCCGTTTGGGAAGCATCATCCCCGTACGCCTATGTGGAGGATGATTGGGAATAAATGTGATTCGTGAATCGTTTGTTTCAAGCGAACAGTTTTGTCAAGAATCGGGACTGCGATCACGCAACGTCGAGCTTCGAACATGCAGTTAAACACTGGAATAGCAAGTAGTATATAATATATCAATCCGCGGGAACTTCCATGTATTTTTACGTGAATCGTTATTGCCTCGATTTTTTCGTGATGTGAAAGAGTTTCTGCAATTTTTCATGACTCGTGTGCAGACAAGTGTTTTTACGTGAAAGCATTTTATGGACGGGTATAGGGAACCCTTACGTATAAACGTAAACTAACTTTAATAATGTCTTTATCTCCACTGCATGGAGTTAAATCACTTAAATTAACTCCCTGAAATTAACAGAGTACAAACGCAATACCTGAAAAAAGTGGTTTATATTTTGAGCAGTCGACTGACTGGAAAAGCATTCTTGTCAACATGCATTTGAGACAAACTGCTGATAATCTGAAAACTGTCTTGTCACTGCGGGAACGTCGGTGCAGAGATGAATGGAAAATGCATTATTCCATTAATGATTTTGTATTTATTGCTTGTATGAAATTTTTATTTTATCTATCGTTGCTTTCACTATGTTATGTTTTCCTTTTTCACCTAGACTCCTAGTGATAAGCTATGATAAGTTCATGAGCTATTTTGAACTATTCCGAAGTTAACAAAATAGCAATGTACATTGTCATTGTACTTGTATACATAGACTATATCTACATTGTCGCATGTCTCAAACCAGGCCGGTTAATTAACACATATTTGTACCAATTTAAATGATAAAAGAAACAAGAATTACTTGTTGTGTTCTCACATTAAGCAAACACAGCGCAACTTCTTTTTATAGATGCACCCTTTCGGGAAGTGATTTTACAAAACAATTAATTTTCAGCATGATTTACCAACATTAATAAATAACTGCTGAGCACAATTGCAGAGTTGTGTTTAATTATTGAAGATGCCGATATTGCTTGATCGAGTGCTTGTCAAGTTCGCAAAATTAGCGCCTTGGTTGATAACCAGCGGTATTCAGTGAAATTCTTCAATTAAAAACTATATGTAGTTTTATCGAGTGAGATTTCAAGATCCTGCTATATTTTAGTAAGTCAGCAACAGTAGAAATCAATGTTATTTCGCCGCTTGTTGAGAAATTCTAGTTAATTAATTGAATTATATACCTGTCAAAATATATGATTATTGTAAATTTTAGGACACATCCCCAGCGCAACGTAGCTTACCAACTGAGATGAACATACTCACACTGTGTCGGTAAGCGAAACAAAACATAATCATAATTGAAAAAATTGAATTAAAATACTTTCTGCCAGTATAGCATCAACAGGTGAACGTCATTGATCTTGTAAATGGCGCATGCCTATATTCAGAGACGATTAGTAAAAATATTCACGCTTAATTATTGTAATAAACATGGCCGAACTCACTCATACACAGATAATTACTTGAAATGGACTATTTTCATTTCATTTCCTTAAATTAAGTAATAAGAATTAAGAATATTTGTTTTTGATATTAACGTTGATTGGCCATGCAATGTGTCATAAAAGTTCATGTTTCAGATATTTATATTTTATAGTCTCGTACAATTATGGTCACTCTTGTGTGTAATTCAAGATTGCAAACTCTAGTTATTTTGTAGAATTGTGTTAAAAATGTTGCTCTATCGACCCATGACATTGTTTATATATACGTCAAGACACATCAAAATAAATTATTAAGCAGTTTAAACGGGAAGCTCGGATTTGCCTAATTCCTCACAGAAAAAATAGAATTTTGACCAAATTTTGGTTGGGAAATGGGATTGAATCCCTCCCGTTCAGAAACCTTTTAATTGAAGGCTATCCCGACCAGAATCAAAGACAAAGTATCACTATAACATTGACTCAAGGAAAGTGAGGGAAAATAGTTATATTTCTGTACCTCCAGGCGGTGTGTAGGCTACCGACGTTGACGTGCTATTGAACCACAGAAATTCCTGCCAGAGTCCTTCACTGATATGAATACAGAAGTGATGGAAAAAGCCGTCTGTATATATACCAATTGAGCGAATTTTGCCAGCTATAGCGCAATAGAATATAACAATCTTAAAGATTTCATGACACTGAAATATTTTCTTCAAGTGGGTTAATCACTATACTTGAATGAATATCGCATTTCCATCACCTTATTTCACCTTATACGTAGTTTACATCTATATATACCATGAGGTCAATAATGACCAGTATTTCAAAAGAGGATAAACGCCGGTTAAAAATTAATGCTTCCTTGAACTCTACTTTCATTTACCGGAGCGGGCTGTAATTGTAAAATGATATTTAATAAAAAATAAATTAAATAAATCCTTCTTTCATCTTCTACTTTTAGAAAGAATGTAAAAAACAGTTTCATTCCGGATGCCACGTTCTTTATAATAATTAAGCGTTCCGCTCAAAAAACTGACTGTATATATGTTCATGCATGGAAATTATGTAAGTGACTTGAGGATTTCTAAGCCTTTTAAGTTAAATGAATAAAACTTACAAAGAAACTTAAAACTATTTTATCTCGCATTTCCTGTTTTACTGAACGTAAAATACCCGCAATTCACGGTTTGAACATTCTCGGCTTGGTTACCGCTACTTCATGTTCTTTTCAAAAGCTTTACAAACTTTCCGACTGCATGGACTATAGTTGCCATAGGTTTTCTGGCAAGAGTTTATCAATAATTCAATTTTAAGAATTAACATGGGCGGACATACAAAGAAGCTGGAACTTGAAGTTGAATGTGCATTCAGGCTTCCGCAGCGGTGCGAAAAAAGCACCTATCCGATACGGAATGTACAACATTTAGAAACTGAGCGAAACAACATCTCAACTCGTTGAAAAAAAACACAGCGTTGACAGCGTTCCTATAAAAAGTACGGATAGATGTTTGAAAACAGCGTTGACAGCGTTCCTATAGAAAGTACGGATAGATGTTTTTCACGTCCGGCTACGGAAAGTTATTCGTTACAGTGTAAAGTTAGCCTCAAGTCATTGTCAAGCCTCTTTTAACTTCAAAACCAGGCAAATTTTCCAGCATGATTATTGATTACACATGAGTACTAGGCTATATAACTTCTCTTGCCTTCTTGGTCTTCGGGATTCAGCCGGTTGCGTATATCAGGATTCATGCATGCAGTTACTTATTTAAGGAGTTTTATATATTTAATTTTTTTTAAAAAATTCTACAAGCTTTGTCACATGATGTTAAGATTATACATAAAGGCCCGTTTACACGGGCGATTTTTGCTGCAATTTTAGTTGCGGCTTTCTCCTTTTGGAGGATCCGGCTGAAGGAGGAGTTATGATTACTTAATGATGTTGTCATGGGATTTCATAACCTGGAACATTTATAACTCATCAACTCCTTCACATTCTCCAAAAGGAGAAAATCGCAACTAAAATCGCAGCAAAAATCGCCCGTGTAAACGGGCCTTAACAAAGTAACAATTGAATGACTGAATATAGGAACTCGTCAACTGCTCGGTAAGCTCCTTGATCGAGGAGGGCCCTGAAGGGGTAAAATGGGAACTGGGATTGATCTATTTTTAGACCGTAGGAAAATGGGATTTGGGTTGCTGGGACTGGGATTTGGCCACTGGGGATGGGAAATGAAGTCCTCAAAAATGGGAATGGGATTGAGGTAATGCGAGTCGATTCCCAATTTTTCTGCGTTTTGAGTATTTTATAATACAATTTTGATCCGTTTTTGGTGTCTTTGGTCATGATTTTTGTTGTTAACTATATTATTCACAGCACTACCTGCGAATAGGCATACTCTGGCGCCTGGAATTCTGGGTTTTCTGATTATGCGTGTCTCAGAATGCTGCAAATGCCATTTCCGGGATTCAAATTTAAAAAATTTCCGTGCCTTCGGCACGAGCCTCCCCCCTAGATGTTTCATAAAGTGTCCGCGACTTGCTTAAAGGGTCTTAAAACTGTTTATTCTACCGATAAAGGGTTTTTTATTGACTGGGGTTTCAATAACTGGGACTGGGATTTCTAATAAAAATCCAACTGGGACTGGGATTTTGCCAAACTGTTCAGGTGGGAAATGGGATTGGGACCCCCCCTCCCTTCAGGACCCTCATCGAGGAGACGACAATTACATTTCTTGGAGAAGAGATTATACCAACCACAAATGCTTGCAAAGACCTGGGTTTAACCCTAGACAGTTATCTGACATACGATTACCATATCAAAAATGTTGTATCAATTCATCTTGTATGGCCAAGCTGTGTCAGATAAACAAAGTAAAGGATAGCTTTGATAGGGATAGTCTTCGCTTAATTATCAATGCTTTAGTAATGAGCAAACTTTATCATTGCTCTACAGTATGGTGACACTACTATGGTCAAACACTTCTGCAACAAATATAAAGAAATTGAGAGCAGTACAGAATTTTGCTTGTAGGATATGACAAATACGGGAAGATATGATCATGTAACACCAGCACTACGGGCAATTCGCTGGCTTCCTGTAGAGGAACACTTAAAATATAGAGAGACACTAATAACATACAAATGTATGAACGGATTAGCACCACCTTACCTATCCAAATTATTTATAAAAAGAAATGAAATTCACGATCTAAATACAAGGAATAATAAAGCGCTACACATCCCTCAACACAAAACAGTTTCAGGACAAAGAACCTTTTATTACAGAGCGGTGAAGTTATGGAATGACTTGGATGAAGACCTTAAAAAGTTACCTTGGAAAAAATTTAAAACTGAGTTAAAGCAGAAGATGCTAAACAACAATTAATTACATTTTCTGATATTATAGATTTAATGGATTTTAAATAAATGATCTCATAGAAAAATAGACTTTAATAGACAAATAGATTTTAAATAATAGACAAATAGACTCAGACAAATAGACTCATAGACAAATAGACTCATAGACAAATAGACTTTAATAGACAAATAAATTTTAAATAATAGACAAATAGACTTTAATAGACAAATAGATTTTAAATAAATGATCCCGTAGATATACTAATAGGAATTTTAGTTAATTTTAATATAACTATTCGTTCTGTAAATAGGTATTGAAAAACTCTCTCCGGGAATACTTCATTGAATAATAATAATGATAATAATAATAATAATAATAATAATAATAATTTTTTACATTACAAATTGTGAGCGGGAATCAGCAACAGCTTTTGGCCAATTACTGTGATTCCAATATATATATATATACTGTCAATGGGCAAAGATATTTGAAGAAGGAATTTAATTTTTTTATATCAATCCTATAATATACATGCACGATTTCTCAGTACGAACTCCGTTTGGATATAGAATCACAATCTGTCTGGCTTGGACTTCTGGATATTACCATGCAGGGCTTCAGATCGGATATATAAACACTAAGGGATGTTGCTGACAACATCATCAATTAAAGTTAATACGAGGTAATGATTTATCAGAATCAGTATAATAATATATATGATTGATAGATTATAATCAGTAGATTAATGTGACCAATATTGGTTGACGTCCTTTTTGTTTTAGCCACTATTGCCCTCTAGAGACTACAGACATTTTTTTAATTATGAAAAGTTTATTTATTTATTCTTTTATTTGTTTATTTATTCTTTCATAAGTTTCATTTACTTTGCCACTGAATGATAGTGGGATCGCCCACAAAGGCTACAGAGCTTGCTGCATGCTTATTATTCATGACATGATTCATGACAAAAGAAAATTCAACTCAAGAAATCAATGTTTACATGATGAGCTTGTTGTTTCTTGACTGACATAATACAAAATTCTCCTTATTTGCATATACTTTGAGTTTGTGTATCATAACAATATGACCGTTCATGCTGTATTTAGTTTTGATGAAGATTCGTGACGTTACAACTTAGAAATGTTTCATTGAAAATGAACAAATCAGTAAACAAGTTTACGAAATGTAAAACTATTGGAGTAATTGTTGACCAGTATATATCCGTTGGAAAAGTATAATAATATTTGCAAAAACTGAATAACAGCTAGCATGCAGGAATCTCTGCTTTCCGTCGTGTACGTCAAATCTTTTGTTGACAAAGATACACTCATTTTGATATGTAACGCTATTGCATGCAGGGGCGTAGGAACCGGGGGGGGGGTGGCAGCCCCCCCCCCAAGTTTTCCAAAGTGCCCTTTTTCCGGGAGCAAAGTGCCCTTTTCTTGCGTGAAAAATGTCATTCACATTGCCTTTTTTGCCCAAAGGGCACTTTTGAAAACTTGAATTTATGTTATGTCCGGAAAATTTTTTAATTTCCGCGAAAAATTTCATATATGTGGAAAAATTTTTGGTATGTCCGGAAATTTTTTTTCATTTTTAGGAAAAAATGTGATATCTCCGGAAATGTTTTGGTATGTCCGGAAATTTTTTTTGAGATGACCCCCTCCCCCCGTCGCCAACATTTCCGGGAAAAGTGCCCCTCAAAGCCTGCCCCCCCCCCAACTTTTAGATGCTTCCTACGCCCCTGATTGCATGTTCGCACATACCCTACGGCTTTGATTACTGTTGTGAAGTATGGGATGTGTTTGATGCAACATAATCAAAACAACTCCAAAAGCTGCAATAGAGCTGCTATAGGATCATAATGAACATGAGCAATGACGTAAATCATTCAACTGCTACGCTTTATATGATGCATATATTGGGTTGGGAGCCACTCCAAACAGGAAGGAAGAAAGCTAAAACAAAAATGATGTATAAACTATTAAATAATATGGGTCCCAAATCACTCACTAATCATTTTTCATACAAAAATGAGAAAATAAACTACAACCTTCGGGACATTTCAAGTGGTCTTAATTTATCAAAACCTGCGCGTACTATAACAATATGAAGAATAATAGTTTTATGTATATGACGGAGCACACCTTTGGAATAGGCCCAAAGAAATTAGGGAGAGCAGATCTCATTCTTTCTTTCAAAATAAAATCGCTGCTCACATAGTCATAAATGAGTACAAATTAAGTAATCAGTTAAATATTCCATCTTTTAAAACATAAGTATTTTTGTAAAAAGCTCTTAATAGCACTTCTAAATTATAACATTTAGTTATGCACACGCTCCTCGTGGAAATCAGCTTCGGTTGACGAGGTCAGCGTGAAAAATAAAGTTTTCTATCTATCTATATATATCTAAATACATACAAATACAATTACAAATTACATCAGTACAAAACTCTGTATAGACAACTATAAGTGTCTGTAAAAAGCCTATCATTTAATCATGGGCTTCACGTAGGCCCAAATGTAATGCGATTTAGAATTGGTACAACTGTTACTCTAAAATGAGGACTTGTATATGGGAAAAACACTAAAATTAAAAATAAAATTAACCGGTACGGGCTACTACGGTCGGTGCACTGAACCAACGAACTGAAACCTATTTGCATATAGACGATTTATTGTAAACATTGTGAGGACCGTATGTTAGATACCAAATGCAGCCACTAGCGAGTTACTACGTTATCCTGAATCGTTAGATGATGTTCGTATATTAAAGTCCCCGGATTAGTCTGTCAAATGTGATGGTCTCGAAGCCCGGAAAGTCAAAGCCACGGAAATACAGCGATGTTATGTTACAAGAACAGAACGTCAGTGAGAATTATCAGCATTTCACCTTTAATTTCATGCCTATGTGGTAGCATAGTTCAAGGCCTTTTGTAAGAATTCGTCATCGCGCGGGGGGGGGGGGAAAGGGGAATCTAGTAACCATACTATACTTAGTATGGAGAGATGACTCATGGTTGTTGGTGATAAAAAGTCGTATTTAATAGTAGGGGGTCTGGGGGAGTGGGGGCATTCTCCCCCAGAAACTGCTTGTATTTTTCCACCCCTATACTGCATTTCGTGCGTTTTTTGAATCTTCAGTTAAGTACTTTCAAATATTGACTCGTGGAGGGGGGGGG